ATACATATATATACATACATATATATACATATATATATATATATATATATATATATTGTTTTATATATTCATTAATGCATTCATTATTTAAACAATACTTGTGTATTTATTTCATTCTTTTATTTATTCACTGATTAAGATGCCCATTCATTCATTTAAAAACATAGTTATTCATTCATTATTAAAAAATATGTGTTCTTTCATTTTATTTATTAATTTACTAATTCATTCATTACTTTAAACATTTTTTTTTCTATTTAGTTATTTATTCTTATAAACATTTATTCATTCATTCATTAAAATAAAATTCATTCATTATTTAAAAAAAATATTTGTTCAGTATTTGTGTTTATTGAATAATTTGTTCGTTCTATTTAAAATATTTGTTTGTTCTTTTTTATTCATTTATTAATTCATTAATTTGTTCATTTATTCTTTCAAAAATATTTTATCTATTCATTTAGTTATTGATTCTTCCTTCTTTAAATACTTAATGTATTTATTTATTCAGTCAGTCAGTCAAATGTTTCCTAATTGTGTGATGTGATTTAGCTCACGCTAATAAATGCTTTTTTTTATCCAAATGTATGTAAATACTCTCCGGATTTGATCAATAGCGGCTTTGTGTAACAGTACAACCTGCAACAGCCCCACTTTGACTCGGAGACTAACCTACTCACTCGAAATAATACCGCCATTATTGATTCAGAGCTTCATGGATGCCTTCCGCTGGAGTTTATTGTTGTATCCCTATTACCACGCACTGTTTTGGCTTAATGATCATCGTACTTTGCACCAAAAAGAGACATTTGAACCCATATGTCTGATGGTTTGCACCCCCACATCAGTTATGAGTCATCTCGTATCTGCCTGTCATTGGTTGACGAGTTTTGCAGAAACGAGCGAGGAAATGAGCTCTAGCAAACAGCTTGGAGTAGATAAATGATCTGGCACCACGCGCTGCAGGGGTCCTCCATAAACTCATCCCTTAATGGCTGTATTTTTATCTCTAATTTGCTTTCCTCATCAACATAAACAATGAAAATATTCTACGGCCTTAAAACATCCGATTCGCTTTGATCCCTCCGATTTAACGCACCTGCTGCGGAGGAAAACACTGAAATGCTGCGGTCGTTACGCCTTCAGAATCATAATGAGCGAACGTAGACCCGTCGAGGCCAATGCGTTGAGAGCAATACGTTTAGAGTTTGGAGTGAAACTGACTTTGATGCATTCTGAACAGATTCAATAAATTCACCAGTCCAAGAACTGGCCTCTGTTGCAATAGTATACTATTTATGAAGGGCTTTGTGACATATTTGTAGAGTATTCTGGAAGATACCATGTGCTTTGACAGCTCCATCTGAGATCAATTCTGAATTATTACACCATTCTTCTCTTATTTTCAGAGTTGGCCATGAATATGGAAGCTTATTCCTGCCACGGGTTAATAATAATAATAATAATAATAATAATAAAGGTAATTGCAAAATTATCTCACAATTATCACTTTTTTTTCTCAAAATTCTGACTTTTGTTATCAAATTCTCTGAATTGCGAGATATAACTCAACGTGTTAACTCTCACATATTTCCTCTTGATTACGAGTTTATATCTCACAATTCAGACATTTCTTCTCAAAATTGATAGATATAAAACAAAACATATCTGTGAGATTTTAACTTGTCTAAATTGAAAAAAAAAAAAGTCGAAATTGTGAGATATAAACTCATAATCAAGAGAAAAATGTCGGAATTGTGTGATAAAAAAGTTGCGTTCAGAGAAAGAAAATCGTAATTATGAGATGTAAACTCCGGTACGACATAGGTGCGGGTTTATAACTTGAATTTGTCAGAGATCAATTAGCAATTCTGAGAAAAAAGTTAGAATTATGGGATAAACCTCAAATTTGTGTGAAAAAAGACAAAATTGTTAGATAGAAAGTTGCAAATATCTTTATTTTTTATTCCATGGTGGGAAAAAAAATAAAATCATTACAAGGTACAAACTAGTGATTTGGAGAAAAAAAGTCTGAATTGTGAAGATAAAACTTGCAACTTTGAGGGGAAAAAATGGTTGCAATTATCATATATTTTTTATTCCATGGTGAAAAAAAAAATTGTGAGATATAAACTCACAATTGACCCTTCATAGGGATTTCGATTGACAGGTGATCTGACCAGTCATGACGGCGAATCTGCCATTTTGTCCGACAAATAAACCAGACAGGAGAGTAGATCACAACACATTAAAGAGCCACAAAACAGTATTTATTGTTTGAATTTCTTACAAAATGACAAAATTTGAAAGCTGAGACTTTGTTTCATACCAAAAGCAACGAGCTCTTGTCTGTCGGCGTGTTGTCAGTGTCCTCTTTGCTCCGCGATGTATGTTTCACTGTGTGAGAACATGATGTGTGGCGTAAGAGCACCATGGCTTGTCGGACGTAGCAACAGTAACTAAGGAGGTGCGGGTCTTTGCCAAGGGTCAGTTGTGAGAAAAGTCAGAATTGTGAGCTATAAGCTGGAAATTCTGAGAAAAAAAAAAAGTCTTAATTGTGAGATATAAACTTGCAATTGCGAGAAAAAGGTCTGAATTCTGTGATAAAGAAGTTGCAATTACCTTTTTAAATTTTTTATTCCATGGCAGAAACAAAAAAGCAGAATTACAAGTTACAAACGTGCAATTCTGAGAAAAAAAGTCTGAATTATAAACTCAAAACTGCGAAATAATTGTGAGAAAAGTCGCAATTACCATAATTTTTTTTAAATTCCGTGGCAGAAAAAACTGAGATATAAAATTATAATTCAGAGAAAAAAAAGTCTTAACGTGCAATTACCTACTTTATTGTTTTTTTTAATTCTATCAGCTTCTTTACATAGCGCTCTTCCTTCAACATCATCTCTCGTTGAAGCCGAACGGCAGCTTTTCAGTTGATGTTTGTAATGTTTCTGTATGCAGATGGAGTACTTTGAGTTGAATACTACATTAGATGATAAGCAAAAGCTCACACTAACAGGATATTCATATTTGCATAGGCGCACGCTTATGAAGGCATCCGAGGGATCATGCGAGCTCACTGTGAAACTCTCCAAATATGATTAACTCTGAACGTGCCTGTTAATCTCTGAAAAAAACCCCGTTCACACTTGCCTTGATGGGACGAGTGTTATGCTCAGATGCACAACACCGTTGTAGAGAGGATTTGTCAAGAAAGATTAATGGAGACAGGACGTCAGCTGGTGAAACAGGAAGTACCGTCAACATTTTGTGACCCTAATTACTCTGCGAAGATGTTATCTGCTTCTTTAGTGTATCTTTGTCCCTCCAACCGGATCGTGATATTAATCATTCTGAGCAAACAGTGCCACACGTCACGGATCAGTGCAGATGGGAAACGTCTACTGAAATTCAGAGTGCTTTTGCTTTGGGGAATTACAGCTTGCCTTCTATGGTTTTATATGTTTATTTGACAGAAATAGTATTGTGAAGAACTAGATCGTCACTGAAGTGAATGGCACTGGTTATACACAAATTACACGCTTTCTCCTACAGTAATTCCCCACACATCCCAATGGTACACGGATAGTATATCTATTTTCACTTGCCATGTTTATTTTAAGAGGGGTGTACTACCTGGAAAAGAAAAATATAATGTTTTATGCTGTTGTATATGCTGTTATGGCGGATATTATTTATGCATAAGGTACTTTAAATAGTTTACACAGAAACTTATGTATACTCACCTGTACGAGCCGGAGGGGTGGAGTTAGGGCTATAATAGAGAGCCCAGCCATCAGTTGAGGGTTCTTGGAACCAGCGAGCGTGCAATTGTAGTGCCGTGCAACTCAGATTGTTAATAAGGAGTGCTTACGTGCTTATTTTTGTGTGTGTATATATTGAAGAATTTCTTTTGTTTTTTTGGGACGTGCACTGTAAAAAGCCAATCACACTGTGTGGACTGTACTACCTTTCTGATACTGTAAATAAAGAACACCTTGCACCGGAGTGCACTACGAGACAGCCATCATTATTTTGTTTTTAAACGAGCTCATATCCACGAGGGAGTCTTGGCTCCGTCTTGTGTCACAAATATAGTGATTATAGTAACTTATTGGGAAGAGATGAGATCTGGAGATGTTGCAGGTCAGACTTGAACCGGCGTCATCCCAATGAGCACCACAGCTTTGATGTTTTAATGTAATTACAAAAAAGTATTTTTTGTCATGTCTATACAGTATATATGTGCGTGTGTGTGTGTTTATATATATATATAT